TGCAAGTAATAACATTGTGCAGTACTTCAGGGAGACTTTTCCAGATATTCGCAAACGTTTTACCAATACTAGTAACCACACCTTTAAAAAAGTACGGCTACATACCAGGAATCAAGCTTTTCGCAAAATTTACACCAGCCCACACTGTTACCCACATCACATAGGCATCTACGGGCTTACCCGACCGATGGAGCCCTTTACCCCACACCCACCTGTTGCTCATTCCTTATCAGTTCTTCCTGCACGTTGCCAACCCGTTTTTCATCTTACAGTCCGTAAGCTCTTCATTGTATCAAAGGGTACGCATGGACAACAAACGTCGCATGGCTCTCAAATGGCACAGCGCTAAAGAAACCGAGTGCCGGCATCTTTGCGCTTCATGCAAACATGCATTTCTGAAAATTTGCAGAAGTCCATATTTTATTGGTCCTACGACGACTTGCTTGTGCATATGAATAAAATATATATAAGATGAAAGCTTAACTTATTCACATGATGACGGCACCTACATGTTGCTAGAGCCAGTGGTCGCGCGTTCAGAACCAAACTTGTACTGTTTTAGCCACACTTTCCGAGGCAAACAGAAACTTTAGCTCACTGCGTGAGCACTAGACTTGCTTCTTTGGTCGATTTTGGTGACGTTAGTCCCAAAAGGGTCAAAATAACGGGAGACGTCACCTCATCTACGAACTGTCCCACTTTAAGCGAAGTGGGCAGCACTAACGCATAGCCAGATCATTCAATACCATCGTGCTTTAACACGTAAATCCAAAGTCGAAGCTAATGGCCTCAATCTTTGAGCGGAACGCAAGTCAGCAGCTCCGAACGTAGCGAACTCGAAGCCCAAGCTGGCCTGTCAGACAAAAATCAAGACACCCAACCCGAAGCGGAATCTATCATGCAACGTCGTTTATGAAGCTATTTTCACGTCTGCCAAACCCCTATAGGAACGAACGAAATTATGAGGGTTTTACAGAGTAGTTGAGATGAGGTGTTAGCATTGCCGATGAGAAAGTTGTTCGAAATATAGTCCTACTCTTAAGTCCTAGTATGTACACGACGTTTTGGCCAGATAGCCCCGGCCATCGCCATGTAATAGTTCATCCTGAGATCAGAGGCTGGTGTTTGTCTTTCGGACATGCGTGTGTTACAGCCTTGACAAGTTGTGCTGTGGGTAAATTGGGGTGACAGGACGGGCACGCATGTTTTTTTAAAAACTGAGTCGCATATGCAGAGGAAATTCACCATGACTAAGCTGAAGAGAGCAGTTCAGGATCGCGTGAGCCGAAGCCAACAGGGGCGCAGGCAAGGAGAAAGTGGCCTTTTAAGCCAGGCCCACAATTCAAACATTGTTCAAAGCCGAAGTCGAAACCACATTTTAAAAATGACACAAGGCCGAAGGTCCCAGATGCCCTCCCACATTGAATGCAACACTGCCCAGTACGCCCCCTGTAAGGAAGCCCTAATTCGTCCAGGAGGCCCCTTGGAAAATCCCGTCCCCAACTCAAAATTCGCGGTGTCGCCCCCGTTGACAGCGGGTAACGTTGACATTCTACACATGTGGAAGTAGCATTGAATCATAAGGTCCTGCAATAAACGGACTCAGATTCCATCCGTACGCTCGCTCTTTTTCACCCTGATCAAGGACGTTGGCACAAGCACACGCAAACTTGTGTGCGTTGGCCAAATGATGACGATACGCTCTGCAAATTCCGCCAGTGACCGTCACAACTCCTTCGGCCCGGAGGGAAGTGCCCACGGCAGGATTGGTCACGTGATCGCCTCTTGCTCCGGACGCACCAGTTGTTCGTGCTACTCGACGCTCACGTGTGGAGAGACATGGACGTCACATCTCACATTGTGTATTAACACCAGAAACAATCACAACGTACCATGATTTCTAGCTTCACCACGCATCACCGAACGCACACTGACCGTCTCGTAAGACGTGTTTACGCTATTGCTTCACGAGCGTTTGTAGTGTTTTCATCACCTGCTCCTTGTTCATGTTGGTGAGCGGCACACTACTCTCCTTGCCAAATGCTGAAATAAAACAAGTTCGATGATGTTCTCTTTCACATGTTGTCACATGCTCACATGATCACGTTGGCTGAATCACGCCGTGACGTTCACTGGCTGCCAAGGGTTTTCACTCGTGCCGAGAGATGCAATACAAGCCATGGGTGGAGATAAAACAGCATCATGGGTGCGGCCGCCGCAGCCCTGAGACGTGTAATTTTATACCCCTATCCATCAGTGAAATTGCTAACTTTATGCTGGTTTGAGCCATGAAGTTTGCCTTGATATGTGTGGCTTTATATCCCCATCTGTCAGTGAAATTGCTAACTTTATGCTGGTTTGAGGAGGTCTAAGTCCAACTTTGGTCTTCCTGCTCGCTCGCTGTGGACATTTGGAGTTAAATTATTTCATAAAATGGGTTGCCTATGTGTAATACAACACAAGACATATTGTGCTTACCATATCTCGCGTAAAGTTTAGGGTGAATCCCACTGCATTCCCGAATTAGAATAGGGAAGTCAGGATTGGCTTTCTTCAGTGGAACATAGCTGCTCTCGATGAAATCCCTGAAAAATGAATAGTTATGCAATAAATGGAGCCAATAAAACTGATGAAATAGCTGATGAGGCATGTACCGGGCCAGATAAATGTATCACACTACACTTGATTTGATTTTACCTAAACAACCCACATCATTGCTTTAGACACACACAACTTTTCACTACACACAGGCAATTTTGTGGGTATATAATGCAGGATATGTCATGACAGTAAACATATCGTACATGGCACATCAAATTTCCACAATCACAACTTCAGTTCATCACACCTTTTGTCCCGGTTAATAACCTGAATGACAGATTTGCAGTGTGACCAGCAAGACGATAAAAACAAAAGCACATATGCACTTCACAATATCCAAATCCCTGAAATAACAACCTTTGTACAATGTAATCTCATAACCTTAAAATGGAAGTCACATGTTACTGAACCTGCGGGCCCAACATCACTCCATTGGTACATATAGCAAGAGCAAAGGCTGTTTCAAGCATATATACCTGAGCAAGAACACATCATTCAAATTTAAGCTTCCTCAGTTATTTTGAGGTGGAACAACAATGAGAGCATCACAAAAGTGACCAGAGTGTCACTTTGTTACCCATCTTTGTCCTAGACCAATGTTTTGAGACCAGACAGGCAAGTAAGCTGTACAGCATGATTTACCTGTACTGAAAAGGGTCAGAAACAGAACAGGAGTATCAGAACTGTAGTGAACTGAACTGTACCAGAAATGGTCTGCCATTTTGGAAAGAGAACCACACCTGAGAGTTTGCATGAAGTCTGACAACATTACAGACCAGCTTTTAAGAACTGTACTGCTTGTTGTCAGAATAACATACAATCAATGATAGCCACAATATTACCCTCCAAAAAGGATGAAGAAATAGGCTAGGCCAGCACAGAAAATACAAAATTTTAGGCAGCCAGACATGGACTGGTCCAGCCTGTGGCTCCAAGTATCACAATCATGCTTCCATATTGCTTGCAAACTTTGGTTGTGTAATGCACAGAGACATGGACCTTTGAAGAGCATTTCCAGCCCTGAGGAACTTTTAAACCCAGCCAAGGACAAGGATTATTTTCAAAACACTCAAGATGACAGCCTCTTGCCCATAATCTCCCTTTGTTTCTAATCCATGTCAACTAAACTAACCAAATACTGGCACAGCTAAAGCTACTTCACTTCACCCTAATTCAGTTGATTTACAATTTTGGGTTGTGTAGTCCCAACTAATTGCAGCTTCATTTTAAAAATGTAGGAAGCAAAACATGTGCATTTAGGTTACCACTCCTCACATCATGTGTGATAATGGCAACGAAGCCAAACAGGCACATTAACCCAAGTATTTATCAGAATAAATGAGAATGAATTTGGAAATGAAACATAACCTAACCTGAGATTTTGAGACACCCCTCAATATTACAGGCATTAACTCAGTAGACGTTTCTTGCGCACCAGCTATAAGCAGCCACGGCAATTAAAAATTATCGGAGATGACAATGACCGCGCAACCCCTAGAACATATATCCTTACCGGACTCCTTGACTCGCAGCGGACTTCTGACACAAGTGAAGCCTTAATTCCTTCAAATGAGGCCCAAACCTTGCCACCGCTCCCGACGCCATTTCTGCTAGCCAAGGATGTCTTTGATGTCTGAATGGTCTGAATGTATAATTGTATTTCCGCGAGAACACACCGATGACGGCATTGGTAGTAGCCAGAATACGTTATCTGCAGCACGAGCGTGGTCGACTGGCAAATTTTGTAGGTTTTCTTGAAATTTTTATGTGTGGCCATGCTTGTCATCACTGGGGACGGGGAATAGATTCCTTCCAATTATTTTCAACGATTTTCTCTAACATCACAATACTGTCTGTGCCACGCTTATTTTCCCTATAACAGATATTATTTCGCAACCAGATTGTCCCCAGTATGACCCCTCCCACCCCGGCTGTTTCCCCGTGGCCGCGCCCATCCATACGTCCATTGATCGCTCCCAGGAGCCATGACATCCCGTGATGTCCTCCGACATTTTCCAATTCTCGTAGTCGCAGAGGGTCTCCGGATTTCTCCCTCCCTCCCTTCCCTCGGCCACTCTCTGGCCCTCACCACAGCCCAAGAATGCTGCGTCGTCACAGCCCTGCGGTCGGCACGTACGAATGTGACCAGTACGGGGGACGTGGCGTAGTCCTAATTTAGCCGTCCAACAAGTTTTCTGTTCGTAAAACAATGTTGTAGGTCTGGGGTACAGTCTGATTCGACCTTTCCCAAGTCGGGTCATGACCGTCTCCGTGGTGAAAGAAGAGGTATGCTATGCGCCCGAGGCCCCAGTCACATTCAACATATTGACACGCCGTCTAAACCGCAGCAGAGCTGCAGTTCGTCATCCTTGCATAATTGAAACTGTTGCATACATTGGTTTATTATAATGTAAAGATGCACGAAAATACACGAAACGCCCTTGCACGATTCAGTCAATTAGTTGCTGAGAATTGAGCAATCAACCACTTGGCTTTCATTCAGTTGCACCAGTTGCTTCAGCAGCTAACACCAATATTAGTGATCCACAATATCTCACGGAATATAATCACCAGATTAGCACAACTTTGAAGGACTTAATTGCGCCAAGGATAACACAGATATCTGCTCAAATGCCAGCAAAATACGCCAATGCCGACGTAAACGATGGACAATAAGATACCACACCCATCAAAATTAGTGATGTTCTATGAGCTTCATGATCAACAAGAGGGCATTATCTAGTTCTATATCAACTCGCAAAGCAGTAGACATTCGAGGCTTTCCTGTCCTTGTTAGCCTGTATGCATCACATCCTCATTCTAAACAAGTGTACAAAACCAGAGTGTGACATGTAATTATACACATCAGCTTTTGATTGTTGTGCAGCATACTGTATTGATGTGCAGAGATATATGTATCTTCATCTGGTTCTTTGCATATTGCGAGCAGGCCATGCAACATTGCATGACATGATATGTAAATCTCTTCTGAAAATCAAGTCGCTACAAAGAAGGACTTGTCAGACCGCAGCTTAGTTAGACTGGTCAGACTGCAGGGAATGTGTGAAATGCTCTGCTAAAGGGCGTCATGCTATTGAGGATGTATCGGCCGACGCCCTGCTGAAGAAGGGCGTCAGACTGCTGAGGATGTGTCGGACGACGTCCTGCTGAAGAAGGGCGTCGGGCTGCTGAGGATGTGTCGGACGACGCCATGCTGAAGAAGAGCGTCAGGCTGCTGAGGACGCGTCGGACGACGCCCTGCTGAAGAACGGCGTCAGGCTGCTGAGGATGTGTCGGAAGACGCCCCGCTGAAGAACGGCGTCAGGCTGCTGAGAATGTGTCGGACGACGGGCGCGCTCCAGGCTCGGCCCAGCAGCTGCTGGCGCCTCTGAGGGCCCAGGCTGCCGAGGTCGGTGTAGTGGCGGGGTAGGCCAAACATCTGAGAAGCCACACGCAGCCCGGTCAGAGCAGGCCATAATCACAAAACAATGACAGTGTGACCGGCAATAACTCTCACACATCTGAGGACTGAGCTCAAATCTGGAGCATTAACGTCAAGCCGTGTAAATGTCATGACACTACTGCAAAGAACTTGCTGCTCAACCTCTCGAAGTCACAGTTATGGAACCCCGCATGAGTTCGAGCTCTCTGGCATGCAAACGCCGTCATCGGGTCAGAAAAAATCACCTGTAGGTGGTTCAACACAGGAAGGAAGCCCGCCGTGTTGTAGATGGACCCTGCGGGTGCTAGGACGAGGCTGGTAACTAACCACTCGGCACCGGTCCCCGCCGGCGGATAACCGTAGCAATAACCCGGTACGGTGGGAGGGCATGCAAGGGGTCGGCTGGTCTTCCGCTATCATTGTCATGGCACTGACAGTTCAGTTCCAATGTTCCCAATTGTCTACTAAGCAACCGATTGAGGCAGGCCGAAATAAATCCGGTCTTCGGAACATCCAGGGCGGGTCGAATCCTGTCTTCTTCCTGCCGCCAGCACACGTGACGTCACCTGTTCTATCTCGGTGATCCACATGACGTCACCCTGCCCGTCCATGACGACCGGGCTGAGGCTGAGCCGACCCTGGCGCAGCGAGTTGCGGCTGGTGGTGACGCAGCCCACCTGGTGACACCAGCGCCATCTCGTGAGCGAGACGAGAGACAACAGATACTTGTCTCATTGCCAAGATGCCCCCATGCTCTTTTCCAATTTAGTGCCTTTGAATGGCTTTCACAGATGAGCTTGCGTTTAGAACAATCTACGACGCAAGCCTACCCTGTTCTCTGCTGTGGTTGAAAACATTATCTCCATCTCCGTTTGACGCGGCCAAAGACCGTGGCTCTGCAGTACCATGCCCCATTCAGAGCCAGCTGAGAGTCTGCACACTGGACCAAGGCAGGGCCGAGCTCTGAGCCCAGACTGACCTGGTCGGTAGCCGGCTGGCGGCAGGGCAGCACCAAATACCGAGCTCTCAGTCCAGACTAACCTGGCCGGCGGCCCGCCGGCGGCAGGGCCGTCACCACACACCGACCTCTAAGTTCAGACTGACCTGATCAGTGGCCGGCTGGCGGCTGGGCAGCACCAGACATGGCGCTATGCTGTGCTCTGAGTTCAGCAGATGAGGCGGCAGCGGTGTGAACAGGCCTGGAGACAGAGCCAATCTGAACAACACGGACAGGTCACACAGAGGACATAGAGGACGAACGGCGGCCCGTACTGCACTGATGAGCTTCAGGGTATGAGCAGGCATTGGACCAGTTCAAGATTGGCTGAAAAGACCATGCGAGCGATACTGCACGGCTGCAAGTCAAGTATCCTCAGCCTCTTCTCAGGACCGGCCAACAACAGACGACAGCCGGAGACAAAACAGGTCGGAACGTTGTGTGAACAACTACCACAGACGAGGACAGTGGTGCCAACGACCATCCAACCGGAGCTAAACAGGCTGTGTTCTCTTAAGCCACAAAGACGATTAAACGTCATCATCAGGTAAGGTAGCGCGACCTGGCTCGAACGCGGCGGACGCTGTGGGCGCTGTCGGTGCCTGCCGCCGACCGGCCCCACCTGGTATGTTTCCCCAGAAGAAGCGGGGCCGACTCTGCGGCGAGAAGTGCTTGGCGTCGATCAGCGCCGGCTCCATTTGCAGGAACCTGCAGGGCAGGGGCCGCACTGAACAGGCCACGCACAGCACACCAGAGCCACTGGAAGGACGACCCTTTACCGGGATCGGGACCCTTAAGGACCCTTTATGACATTAGCCAACGGCTATCTGTTGAGGCACGAGTGACAGGAAGTTTCTCAGTAGTGACGGGTGATTCCACAGGACTCTTCACCTCAGTGCACACAAACACAGCATGCACTTATACTTGAGGTAATTCAGAAAAAAACTAAGGCTTCTGCCGTTTTGCACGCGTAATGATGGCGAGGAAAGACTAGACACACAGACAATAAACGTTCTTCAATAAACCGGGCAATACTTGGAATAGGCAAGACATCCACACTTGCTATAGCAATGAGACTCGGTTCTTTTTACCAGATATAACGGAAGTTTGGGATTCAATGACGCCTTAGATATCTCGCGGTGTTCAGCAATATAATCAAAATGTGATACAATGAGATAATTATTTCTAACGTTGTTCTTCTTTTTTTCTACACTTTTCCATCGTCTACTTCTATCATAGTCATGAGGTGCGCACTGAGCTCGTTAGGACGAGCACTCCACGTTTTTGTTGTCTGTCTGTTATTACAGGTATTTCCCTGTCTACTTAAGACCGCTCAGTATCATGCATGCATGCTAAAACTTGTATTAAAAATCTGTTTCCAACTACATTTGTCTAAAAAAGTATCGCACATAAGCCACCAAAAATAGCTGATGACACACACACACGCGCCCTTCAACGGAGAAAGGCTTTTCGAGGCTCTACAGAAATGCAATCGTCCAACAGTTCACAATAATGCCTTGCGGGAAGAGTAGTCACCTGGATATCACCTTCCGGTACTCCAGAGGCATGGAGGCCACATTTTCAAAGAGCCAGAACACGTGTCGGCCCTCGTTGCACACTTCCACGCTACGGAGAATCCGGTAGAAATCGAAAAACAGAATGCCAGTGCCCTCGGGATCTGGAAAATGAAATATCACCATTAGTGGTAAGACACAACACACCTGACAGCACGTAACACCTCCCTGGCCATGTTGCTTATAGTTGAAGCATCATGGTTGGGCAGCTGACGTTGTGGAAGAACGGTCTCTGGATCGGGCGCACATGATCGCATGGATGCCCATCTGAACAAACGCTTACAGCTTCCCCACAGGGGAAACGGCTACGGCGGGCAGCATCGTCACGACCTTGCATGGCACCTTACACATTCTCAGTAGCCACTGTACGGTTAGCAGGCGGCTGGTGCTGGATTCTTAGGGTGACAGTAGCCGGGGCCAGTGTTGACGTGAGGCGCCAAGGCTCGTGAAGACTGGTGACAAGGCCGCACTTGACCTATTTGTATCACACACAAGTACATTTGCGCAAGATTAAGCATATGCACACATGCAGGTCTGTGGTCAGAATATTGTACGTAGGGCTCTTCATTGTAGCAAATCATTTGTGCGACTTAACGTATTCAAATGTGTTTACCACGAAGTGACTTTTTCCGCGCTTTTTTTTAAAACATCATCCTACCTTCCGTAACTATGACAAACATAGTACAAAAATATACGTACGAAAACCCAGACGAAAACGCCTCCAGAATCTGTTGTTGAGGCTTTCCAGCAACACCACGTATACATCTCGAAAGCGCGCTGTATAACACTGAGACAGGAACATGCCATATAAGTGGCTGCACCAGCATAGTCGCCAGAGCCAGAATTGAGCTTAACGCATCCCTTCACTGACCGTAGAGGCCGCGCCGGGCCGGGTTCACCACGCTGAGGTCGGTGCAGGGCGAGCCGGCCAGCACGAGATCGACCGGTGCCAGCTCAGAGATCTGCACACAGAGGACACACCCGCTGGCGGTGCGGTCTGAGCGGACACATCCCGCTGACGGTGCGGTCTGAGCGGACACATCCCGCTGACGGTGCGGTCTGAGCGGACACACCCAGCTGGCGGTGCGGTCTGAGCGGACACACTCGCTGGCAGTGCGGTCTGAGCGGACACATCCCGCTGACGGTGCGGTCTGAGCGGACACACCCAGCTGGCGGTGCGGTCTGAGCGGACACACTCGCTGGCAGTGCGGTCTGATCGCGCCCGTCCGCTCAGGACTGCACTCACAATGGACAAGGATATTCAAGTTAAAAAAAACAACACAGTTCACATATACGTCAACATGAACCAGAGACCACGCATCATGCAACGTAGCTAAAGCTCTGAGCCTCTACGAATTCATCATTTAGCCCGACACTTGACAACACTTACTACACTGTCATCGTCTTATGAAGAGCTAACCAAGAAGGGTTGAACCCCTCCAGCCCGCACGGCCGCGGCCGCACGGACGGGACCTGACCTTGACATCGGTGAGCGTCTCCACCGCACCCAGCTGGGTGACGCGGGGATGGTTCATGGCGGTCACGTGGATGGCGTCCGGGTCCGTCTCGGCGGCCAGGTACACCTCCACGGCGACCCCCAGCTGGCTCAGCACCTGCATCCCTGCCGCAAACAACGGTCCTGGGGACTCAAGCTCGGCGACACTTTCCCAGCCCGCCACAATTGGCTTTCATCAACGTGCATTGAAAGATGAAGCCAAATCTATACTACTGCGTCGGATCAGTCGTAGTAAACTGCAAAATCAGTATACTTAAGCAAAATATCAGAGACCTCCATTGTGTACCCCCCGCGTTGAAACGCAGGGGTACACACTCGGATCAAGCGACAGGCGGAAGATCGGAGAGTCCGGAGCCGACGGTGAGCGGCTAACCTGTGGCGATTCCGTCGAAGAGCGACAGTACACGGATGGGCCGCCTATTCTTGAACTGCTCCACCGGCAGCCGCAGGGTCGGGCAGGAGCGCGGGGTGAAGAGACGCGCCACCTGGTGAGCAGAGTGCGGCAGTGGCGGCATCACCGACAGGGGAGCAGCGTCCGCACTAAAAAAAAACGTCACCTGGCAGCCCTGACACAAGGACGGGCGCGCCAGGGAGCACGACCACGGTGGAGCGCACCGAGTGTGTGTGCGCGTGTGCGTGTGTGTGGGGGGGGGGGGGAGGCAGTGACAGCAAGAGAGGAATATTGTGAGATATGATACATAGTTTGCTACAGTTTACCCGTAGGTTTTCGACACTACACGCAATCTGCTTAAACTCCCAGCGTGGCGAGGCGATCCGGTATTTCAGCCTTATCTCAATGGCGGCGTGTCAAGCCCAGTTGTGCTGCGCGGCCCGGGCGGGCTGGCAGCAGGCGCGTCGCGTCTCCCGGCGGACCCGCTTCGGACGTACCCGGTGTTTCCAGTCGGCGCGACCCCGCAGCGGGCTGGCGTCACCGGACACGTGACACAAGGGGCAGCGCCAGGTGGGGAGCGCGGCCAGCCGCTCCGGCGCGCCCGCATCAATCAGCACGCTCAGACACACCGAGCAGAAGCCCCTGTGGCACCGGAGCAGAGCGTACACCAGTCCTCCGTCACAGCGACAGGCTCTCAGGCCGCTGGCGGCTGTCCAGGTTCATTCCTCAGTCGCGTGAGCACAAGTGATACATCAGAAGTAGGGCGGCCTAACTCATCAGCGCGCAATGCGTTCCATATTGCGTAGTCACGTACTTCATGAGAAGCTTTGTGTAAAAAACACATATTTGCAACCTTAAAGAACACAAACTTGGCGTGGGCTACGAACAGTCAGCCCAGTGATTTTACTCGTTGACATCCTTCCTAATGCACCAAGTGGTGAAAAAACTCGTGAAAATAACTACCGTCCGATCAGCACGTTTGCATGTGGTGGGGCCAACTTCCGTGACGTCATCGGAGGCGAGCGGAGTCCAAATGGGTCACTGACCTATTGCAGGACATCTCGTCGCAAATCAACAGCTGGCCCAGACGAGAACACACCACGCAGTAGGGCTGCAAAAATAACCAGAATGGTTGAGGATAAAGCCCGCCGCCTTTTTGTCACATTGTCATTGTCGTACAACAGCCCAATATCAAAACACAGCCCGAAGTGCATATGACAGTGCAGGATGTAGGAAAGATCTACCGGAAAAGACGGACGGCGGTGACGGCTTCCCAGTACCCAGTCCAGACACACTCACAGTGCTGCGACCAGCGCCACTCACGCTGTTAAGGTCGGCGTACTCACAGTGTTGCGACCAACGACCTTCACGCTGTCTAGGTCAGCGTGCTAACAGTGCTGCGACCAGCAACACTCACGCTGTTAAGGTCAGCGTGCTCACAGTGCTGCGACCAACGACACTCACGCTGATGCCGTCCTCGGCGATGGCGAACATGGTGTCGCGGATTGCGTCCTGGCAGGGCGCGCAGAGGCCGCCCACCACCAGCGGGTGGCCATCGGCGACCTCCGGTGAGCCGCAAGCCACACACACCGCCTCCAGGCCGGCGGACGGGTCGGCCGTGCGACGCAGCCACTCGGCTGAGGGGAGGGCGTGAGCGTCAGGCGACCTTAGGCCACAGGATGACGGCCGTCAGGTGACGTTTGGTCACAGGATAACGACCGTCAGGCGACGTTTGGTCACGGAATGACGGCCCCCAAGCGACGTTTGGTCATGGGATGACGGCTCCTTCCAGCTGTCGATACATTGCAAAGGCCAGATGCCGTTTGAATCATCTGATGTGTATTTGTACCCAGTGAACCACACGAAACCCCGTCTCGTAGACATCATCTGGCATAGTTACTGGTGCCAGCATTCACGGCGGCTGACTGTACCACCCCGTCCCGCTTCCGTCCTGTGGTCTCCGTCGTCAGAGGCCCGCCTGATACTGACCTCTGCGGTCGGGGGGCGGCGAGTGACTCCTGGCCGGCGCCGGCCGCTCCCCCGGGCCCGGCTCGTCCCGGGCCCGCCGCTGGCTCGCCGCGATACCCGCCAGGGGGGACAGCACGCGGGCCGGTATGCTGACATCTGGCGGCGGCGAGGGCGTCAGCCTCCCCAACGCCATCTGCAGCATCCGGAGCCATCCGTTCATTGGCTCTTTTCACATGCCAATGCGACTTCATGGGCATGATCGGACACCACTTATGTACATTAAATTAGAAGTCACAGCAATTTGTGCCTAAATTTTAATCACATGCATAACATGGCCCGTCCATAAGCTCCATCCCGCATTGTTTATCACCTTCAGGCCCCCCTCCCCAGGTTTCCCACTGGACACGCACCGATTAAAGACAGCATTCTTTTGGCCCCTAGTTGAGCAATGGCCCTTGAGACAAACAAACACGAGTGCTGCTTGCCATGAGAGGAAGCCAACAATATCCGACATTGGTGTTTAAGACATTTTAAAAAGACAGGCATGATTTGAGACCACATCTGAGCATAATATTTTGTTGTTCCCCTGTTCCGTCCCGGCAACGTTTCATTAACCTCCGTCTCCGTCCACGCGTAACGTAAGGTACAGACGACCCCCCATACTAGATTCACAAGTAACCCGCTAAATGCAAGTGCTCCTATTCACACAGGAAACTGTTCTCGTTTAATGTGTCCAATGAGGTGAATACTCCGAGACAGATTAATTACGGAATGCTGCACAAATCGACAACTAACTCGAGTAACGACACGAAGTCATGCATTCTCCAAATGAGCGACTGCAGCAGCGTGACATAAACGGTAGCCCATTCCATCCCAAGGCCTGTTTGCAAGAAGTAAATTCAGTCCCGACTATACAGCGTCTGCCTGCAGCAGCCGCGCCGACCACCAGCAGCCGGTGCGCCGACCACCTGGACCGACCTTCGAACGTGAGCCCGTCGTCGATGGCCGACTGGCCCCAGCTGATGACCTGGTGAGTGGAGCCGGCCACCGGATCCAGCCCCAGGCGCCGGCGGCACTCCTGAAACACGGCGCTCCATGTCGATCGTGTGTGCGATCAGCGGTCCTCTCACGATTTCGAGTACAGCCACAGGACCGGTCTAATCTACCACAAGGGAGCATTCTCAGGCCCGGGAGAGAAATAAACCGACGGACAACACTCAGCTCATGTAACATTAAGACACCAGCAGACGCGCTGTGACAATGGAACTGATCTAATAATGAATGGTGGAGTTCCGAATCGCTGTTGCGTCGTTGACATTCAGTCATTTGGCCGGTCTCGACTTCAAACCGGACACCATTTCGATGTTATTTTTTAAATTGGCTGGCAAACAAAGCCCACGCCTACCATCACGGCATTAGCACATGGTCATGAATGTCAGAAACTCACAGCACTAACATCCGTTCCTTTTAAATCCTCTACTCACGGGCGAATACAAGCCAAGGACACCATGCATGACACGCGATGAGTAACTCTGCCGGCAGAAGCCAATCCCCGCAAGACCGCCTCATGGGGCCGGGGTGCACAGGATCGAACACCACGCACACCGCTCCGCCATCAGCCAGCGGGCCAGCATAACCCGGCGCCGCTGACGCCAGTCCCTCACCCGGAGTGCCTCGACCAGGCCCAGCTGGTACGCCTGCAGCCGGTAGGCGGGCTGCACCAGCGAGCGGAAGCCGGCGGCGAACTCGACCACGCGGTCCCGCGCCACCTGTCGCCATCGCGGGCAGCACTCCGTCGGTGACAGTACGAGGACAGGTGCGCACTAGTTTGTCCTAGGTGGTTTGTCCCATAGCTCACGGCGCGGACAGCTCAGTGCTCGGCCTGTGCCAATCAGTTCAACCAGATTTTTGTTAAGCATTCTACGCCCAACCGCGCAAACCTCACGACCGAATTGATGCTCATATTCTGTCACAATTTATGATACAGGAGGGATATGACGCACGCGTGACTCCCGTCGCAAATGTGGATGTCTAAATCAACCTACGCAGGCGGTTAAGGGCGCAGCAACGTTTCCTACCAGACATTCCGATATTTGCTGACAGTCTGACAAGAATGATTGATTTAACCACATCATATTCCTCCTTTGCCGGCGAGAAGACATAGAACGGCCCGGATGTTACCAGCCGAGCGGTCCGGGGTGCCGGACTTCGAGCTAGACCAGGTCGGGCTATAAGCAACGACACCTCCTAACCGTTCAAACAGAGCCGTGAACAAAGACGGCCGGACCGTCGACCAACCGATGCTTCTAGGGACGGGCAAACCATTACACCACCTAGGGAGAACTGCACTGCATGAGGACATGGGCAGTATCCTGCCCGAGCTTCCTGCCAAGCCCGAATATATAATAATCCCAACTACGGCCGTTTCCACACCTTGCACACTAACCAACGTGCCAATTTTCATAGAGGTGAAGTCAAACGGACAAACTGGAAGACACGAAGGCTCACTCAGCCCCCCCCCCCCCCCTCTCTCTCTACTCCCACAATGCCGTGCGAAGTTGGTGCGGCGGGCCCGACCTGACCGGGCAACAGGTTAACCTTCTTGCCGGCTTGACAAGAACCCAGCTGATTTTTTCGGAGCTTTTTGTTAGGGCGGACAATCTTTCTAAGCATGAATGATCGGTCCGAAGCATAACCACGGCAGGCTATCGAGCTCTGGCCTCATCGTCGAAAGTCTGCAAGGACGAAATATAGCAGCTCAGCAGCCAACAAGCGCGACCGGTATATTTCTGCACCGAGAGCAATTTTTTCTATCCAGTGAGTTTAGGGGTCTCACACTGCTACTACAGTAAAAACTATAATTGCCCGTAGCAATACCGACGGACATTCTGGGAAGAGTTGCATGGGATAGACCTGAAATTGGAATCAAAATATCCCGCAGGACATTACGCCATGAGCCGCATGACTGATATGTCTCGATCTTAACACTACACCAAAGCATGGGTAGCTCAGGTAGTTTTCAACCTTGAACGGAACGATCTCATCTTAGCACTCTAATTCCGTACAGACAATATATTAACTGCCTCGCCGTGGAGGTGCCGTGACTTCCCACCTCTGAGATTCGGTGATCGCCAAACCAGTAGACCCAGGGCCGGTCCCTGGAGGCCAGCATACCACCCCGCTCGCCTTTGACGAGCATCCCTGGCGGCCAGCACAGAACCACACTGGTCGTGTTTTCAGCACAGGGAAGGAAACATTCTGTGACGCCGAAGCCTTTTGCTCGCAGCAGCAGTCGGTGGAGGAACTTTCCCCGACAGACCATGTTTTGGCTAGATAATTAACCTGAATATGCAGTTGATAGAAGAGTAGAACACATTTTAGTAGAAACCGTGGCACCATGTTGTTACAATAACGACGTCCCGAGGCCGTATCTGATTTTTTAGCGATGAGCGATTGTGTCTACAATCAGATTTCATTGGGGCAAACTTAAGGATCGCCTCTATGGTTCGTGGGATGTTTTACACTCCAAACATCTAGACAAACGATGCACGTAGCACATTGATAACGGCACTTCTCAAAAGTTTTCAGGAAGACTTTGCAGCACTGCGTTGCGCTGTTACATACCTGGCCACCACTTGGACGCGCCCAGCTTGGCCCAGACCAGGGAGCCCTCTGTGAGCGCCCCCCAGACGCTGGGGTCGAGGCCGGCCTCGCAGGCCTGATCCTCGAGGCCTGTGCTTGCGTTCGGCGGTGGCGGTGTGGCGTCCCTGTCGGCGTGCTCCGGCCGACGCGGCCGCGGCACGGGCGTCGCCGGTGACCGCGGTCGGGGCCGCCGGCTGTGTCGGCTCCTCAGCCGCGGGACGAGCGCCGGTCCCGCCTCGGGTCGCCGCCCGCGCCGCCGCGCGGGCCGACGGGCGGTCCGCAGCCCGCGGCGAGCGCGGGCCGGCCGTCCCCGAGCCGTACCGGCGCCGCGGGAGCCCGGGGCCCGCTGTACCGGGCCGACGCCGCGGAGCTCGGGGCCCGCTGCACCGGACCGGCGCAGCGGGAGCTCCGGGTCCGCTGTACCGGACCGGCACAGCGGGAGCTCGGGGCCCGCTGCATTGGAGCGTCCGCCGCCGGCTCCGGGCTGCGCTCGCGCCCGCCGCCCATCCGGATGAGGAAGAGATCGTGCCGGAGCGGCGGCAGCGACGTCGTCGCGAGGTGGGTCAGTGCCAGCTCCTGCCGAAGCTGCACTGTTCGCTCCTCCATCTCCACGCGGTCTGCCCGAAGGAAGTTTGGGACACCTGCTGCTGTGCTACGCAAGCATGCAACAGAAGCACAGGCAGCATTTTATCCTTATTCCATTTGTATGCCAACAAAATTATAAATGAGCAACTCACACGCAAACCATGCACCAAGCACACCACAATGAGACAGCCATGAAAATTTGCAAAACCAAACCTTTCATAAGCTGTAGTCTAAGTGCCACCTCTGTCAGGTGCACTTCCAGTTCTTCATACTTATCTTCATTGTCAGCAAAGTCACAGGGTGTGTTGAATGACATATATTCATCTCCATCTTCCATGTTTGAAGTATTTATACCACTCTCCATGCATTCCATCTCTGAAGTCAGTTGTCTGTCACAAGGGCATCTTCAGGGTGAGGGAATGAAATCAGTACAAAAGATCAGAGAATCAGAGGATGAAATCAGCACAAATGACAGCTGCACTTACTAGAGTAGATGAGTCATGATCTGTCATGAAAACAATATCTCATGCAGGATTTACCTAATTTTGGTTAACATGCAAAATTGCAAACCAACTATCAATGGCAGGATCATATGATACGTGAATGTATTCACATCAACTCAGACCATTCCAGCTGGTATAAGTTATGAATATCACATTTCTCTGAATTAATTTCCAGTAATTGTGCAACTCTAGCAGAACACATTAAAAAACCAAGTTTTATCCCAACTATACAAGAAGCTTTTGCAGCACTACATTTTTCATCTTACCAGTTTATGTAAAAACAGGAATAATTAGTCAGTCTTGGCTCAATATCAACATTGCTTGTCCCACTCCTTGATATCAACACATAACCATACATTACATCCTGCTCAAAGGACTATCAGATAGTTATAGGAGTAGCCTCATACAAAGACATACAATCCATTTTCTCAATTTACACTATGATGAAGTTTATTACACATTGTTCCCTCATTGAAAACACATCAACAGCTGATGTGATGGAAAATGCACAAATAACAAATGCTAAAAACAATGACTTAATACCAGGTATTCCATACTAGGACACCTCCCTAAGCATAACATCAGTGTTTTCACGATCCGATCAGAAATTTTGCCTTTGGGCTGAATGTTTATTTTTCATCTATGTAAATTAACTTGTGATCTATGCAAACCAAAGTCATAACTACAGCCAGACGGACTACATCGACGGTGTGGGCACCTCGTACTTCCTAAATGAACTGAATCAACTTAAATATGTTAGGCAAATCATTTAACGATGGCATCAGTCGACGAGATAAACCTTCTGCATACCGCCAGCACGCCCAGCTAGTTCAACGTCGTACAAGTCGCACTAAATTGCGTTCTCCCCACCCTACAACCCGCCCATTCAGTATCAACCGAAGCTGGAAGTCTTGCCGACAGTCTCCCAGCTGATTGTGTGATAACGCCAGCATGATGTCATCGTATTATGGCTAAGAATATTATAACCACAACAACCACAATATTATGACTTTGTTACATATGACCACAGGTCGTTGCCAACCTGCGACAGTCCCATGCTGACACAAGCCCGGAAATTCCATAATGGCATCTGGGCGCTTTCTGGTCATGGGAGTGCGCACCAGCACGCAGGCGAGGACCGAAAAGAACCGTTCGGCACAGAACCGGACCGGCCGGAACTAGGCAGAACGTCATGAAGCAAGACGGGACCGGATGGCACCACTCCAAACCAGACCGGGCGGGACCAGACCAGACGGGACCGGACAGAGCCGGACAAGATCTGATGGAAATGGGACCGGACGGAAGCGGACAGGACCAGACGGGATCAGACGGAATCAGAAGACACCGGACGTGACTGGACGGAACCGAACGTAGCAGAATGGACCAGCGGTACCGGACAAAACCATAAGAGACACAGCAGAACATGACAGGATTGAATAGCGCGAAAGTGGACTTAAAGCGACCAGTTATGACAAAACGGGACCACCGGGAACCGGACGGAAACGGGCGGGACCTCGGAACCAAGCGATGGAACCAGACGGGACGAGACCAAAGCGGACAGCACTAAACCAAATCAGACAGGACTGGGCGAGACCAGATCGGACGGGATCGGATTAAATCGGGTGAGACATTAGGGAACCAGATGGGATTCGACGGATCCGGATGGAGCCGGACAGGGCCAAATGGAATCGGATGGCATCGCACGTGACCGGATGAAAACGGGCGGAACATAACTAGACCAGACGGCAACGGACGGAGGGACCTGGCCGAACCGGACGGGGCCGGATGGAGCCGGAAAGAACCGGACGGGACCGGACGGATTCAAGCGAAGCGGAGCTAAGCGCATTGCTCAATGTCGATTGAGAAGTGGATCTTTTAGATGTACCTTGTACGGTCACTGACCTACGACAGGTCAATGTCAGGCCATGGACTCAGAGAAGACAATTTTAAGTTGTTCAATCCGGTGCAACAATGTGTGTCAACGATGTCAGATGAAACCATTCACTTCTGTGATAATTCCTCAGGCAACACAACAGCTGAATCAACAAATTTCATTGACCTAGTGTCGCGCCTGGAGGTCAGAACAAGGTGAAAACCAAGGTGATTTGTCTCTAGAGCCTCTAGTTCCTACGCGATAGTGTCTGATACTCATTCTGGACTTACTGATAATGGAAACCGCAAGATACATTTTATATGAATTTTGAGAGTTGAGATTTGGTCACTGACCTAAGATAATCCAGGTCCACATTTTGTTATTAGGAGCATACCACTTAGCGTGATTCTTTGACGCTAGTTGAACGCAAAAATCAAAGCAGTGCTATATGATTTTGATCACCACGACCTTCTCTATGTCAAAAAAGGTCACTGAACTTAAATGAGCACCAGTGCCTTTTTGCTTAGGTTTAATAGATATATAGGTTTACGGTGGCTGCATGAGAGAGTCTGGGCCACTTTGGATACCGATCTGGATTTTGACGTTGTTTGACCTTGAGGTCATGACATAGGAACCTTGAACTTTATCACAAGTGAGTTCACGTATAGGCCAACACACCCCATAAATTTGGTCTCTCTAGCCCTCTTAGTTTCTGAGATCTCAGGGGGTGAAATTGACCGCCACCCGAGCGAAGAGTATTCAACCGGCCACCCGGGCGCGTATTAGTGTGTGGCTGTGGTCAAGTTACCACCACCGGACCTTCTCAAACGAAGTGTTTGGTGTTTGACATTAAGGCATTCTTTCTGGCCTATCATGGTCGTAATAGTGAGGTATAGTGGGGACAGTAGAGACAAAATAGCATACATTGCCTCTTAAATGACCCATCAAATAAAAGCCCGCACAGTCTAGGGTTGAATGGCTTCACAAAATAAGTTGGGGGAGGAGGGATGAACAGTGAAAAATCCCCCCCCCCCTACTTGCGTCAACAAATAGATTTCTCCACGGATTTCACCCGCTCCCCTTTCAACGTTGGGGGGGAGGGCGTTATGACATTGCGATCGCCGGGTGCACGCTGCACCTCCTGCCTCGCGACTGCTGTAGGTCAACGACCTGGCGCTTTTTGTGAATCCATCGGAGCCCATGAAATCCCCGTTGTTCAGCGCACAATAAACCTCATGTGTGGGACATTTGCGTTTGCGTTTGAGTGTGCCTAGTACGCGCCACGAGACGTCATAACATTTTTGACACCACCTGACGCCTCGATGGCTTTGATGCGACTCGACTCAAACCTGAGATCATTATGTATTGCGTGCGTACACGGTGCATATCAAAATGACCGTTTACTTGGGAAAACCGCGCAAGTGATAATCCGCTCTGTGACGCCCTGACTCGTTCTGGTCCTGCTCCGTTTTGCTGATGTGTCGACAGCGCCTACTTCTTCCCGCTTGCCTCTTCCGTATACAAAGCGCATTTATTGTGCATGCCAATCTTGTGTTCAAAGCAGCAATTACCGGGAAGTACAGTTATGAAGCTTTTTTAATTCGGCAGCTTCGTAGCACATTTTGTCACGTGTGGCGCTTTTACACTTACATGGATGTATACGCCTGCACGCCACATTCCATTTACAGACAAGGGCGCATATAATAGATATGTTTTTCACCTGATTTCACCTGACGTCATGACGTCATTATTGGCTCATGCGTGCACGAAGTCTTTGCACATAGTGCGTTCATGCATGAGTCAATAATGGCGCCATCCCTATTAACCGTGCTCATACTTTTCCATAACCTACTCCTTGAACTGTGATGGCCCTGATTCGTGTGCCTCCTGGCACACGAATCACCTAGGAGGCACAAGGAATTCATCTGTGCCTCCTTGCTAGGCAGCCGGGGGCCCCGGAAACGATTTCAAAATTACGAGAGGGGGAGGGGATGCAAAAAATGACTTGTCGACCCACTTCCCATCTTTCTCCCCAGATTTCAGACACTATATTCTTCTTAGGCATGATGCAAAAGGTGACTCGCATTATCGAACGTTTTCAGCGACGTCACCGCATTCCCGCGGATGAGGTCAACTGTAACCAATACCGCCAGATCTATTTTCCTTTGGGCAGAATATTTTCGCACTAAGTGTATGATACTGTTTATACATGCGTGTTGTGATCACATTTACTTAGTTGTTTATGATGACGGTGGAAATCAGACACATAAACGTACCGTACGATCCATGTCTTCATGGCTGAGAGTGTTCCGAATCTCAACCAGTGGCAGCTGCACGTCTGACCCATGCCATTCTCTTTCATAATCCTGACAGCTAAAAGCTCGCGACCGAAATGTAGGACGCCAAGAGTCTGCGTTGACCGCGAATTGCAAGTGATTATGAGGTGGCTCATGTGATGCTTGGCCCATTATCTACCACACCCAGTGGCGGATTCAGAACTTGTTCAAGGGGGGAACGCAACATTGTGGAGCCTCCTCTGGAAATCGGAGCCTCTGCAATATGAGAAACCCTCGTACTCCGGCCATTTGAGACTCTTATGTAGGCCTTTTATGTGGGAACCCATCCCGCTGCGCGCAGCCCTAGAA